ACCACTACACCACCGCTCCCCACCACCACCACCACAAAGCACAATCCCCATGGGCCCGTATCGCAATAGCCGTGCTTAGAGCATCTAATCCGGGATGAGAACATGATTACTATTACATAATCCCTCTCGCACACTCTGCCCGCGCGGGTGTTTCCCGAGTGTCCTGGGAGCTGTGGGACGCAAGTGGTAAGCGCGCTACGCGACGTGGCCACGAACCCCATTTCGATTTCCCCGCTCACGTCCAATAGCAGTGGCAGAATATTCTAATCTGTCCTGGGCATCCGCTGGGTCGACTCGGTCTTGAATGAGTAACTGGTGCGGTGATTTAAGCATCGCCATTCGGGAGACAAAGGCGGCCGGGTGCGGTTGTGTGCCCACTCGCCCCCCTCGTGTTATTCCCTGCCGGCTTTAATAGGTGCTCGCTAACAGCGCTTGCCCCAACAGTCTGCTGAAGGCTACACGGGGAGATCATTGTCTGTGTCACATCTTCGTGTGTACATTATATACGTATGTAATATCAATTTGTACGCGGGGAGCGGTAGCCTTATTCTGCGCATGTATAATTTCAGAGAGTAATAACAACTATGTACATGGTACAATAATATTATAATACAAAAAAATCCCCGTAGAAGTCCACATACATAACTCACCACTGATGTTAGCCGTGACCGGAGAATCGAGTTATTTCTTTTTGGGCCCGCGCACGGCTAACATCAGTGGCGAGTGATATTTGAACGGATCATTGGTGCCAGCAACAACAACAACAGCAGCAGCACATTGCCCAACCCACACTGCAGGCTGCTGTCGCGATGATGTGTCCGTCAAACGACGTTGGCGTATTCATCCAGCAGTGGCATAGCGCGGCGCTGTCGGCTTGTTGCGATGGACGTGGTAGGCGTGCGCGTTTCTCCCCCGCTTGGGGTTTCTCTCCCGCCTTAAATATTCGTTGAACAATTAATCGGTTCATACGTCCCCCCAAAAATTGGGGCAGGACCCTCTTGGATACGAGCAACTTGAGACTCGGCGATAACTTGTGCGGGGAAATGGCACGGCTGCAATCAAGATGTGATCATGCACGCGCATGTGATTGTGAACGCGATATGAATTCATCACCTACGAGTATGTACAACGAAACATATACATATACACAGCACCGTCTCTATAATAACCTATTTATATGTGTGTTTTGGCCATGCTTAATATTGCCGATACGCGATTATATATTATAGATAACATACACAATTTATGATACAGAGTATTAAATATGTCATTTGTACGTATGCATTTGTGATAAACAAATGTAATGCTGACTGACACATGATTCAGTAGCAACACTAAGTCTATCAAGGCTCCACAGTGAACGATTGCGGAGGCCTTCATCCAGCAGTGGATTGATCATGCCCGGCCGCATTTGTCTTCCCCGTGCTGATATTTACCAACCGCACCAGGTACTCAATTCCGAGGCTGGAGGCCCAGCACCGGTTCGAGTATTCGCCACGGATATTGATCGTGAGTGCGAATGGAGCTGGGCGTGACCAGGTTTGGAGCGCAGTGAACTAACCACTGCGCCACCGCTCCCCACAATACTCACACAAACACGCGTACATATTACGCATAACACATGTGGTATAGGGCAAGACATGTATACATTTAGTCTTGTGTTTGTAACTATAGAAATATGATGAGCAATATTTTACAGAAAAAATTCTATAGTTACAATTTTAGTTCACGTGAATTTAAATGGAAGCTGTTTTAACTCAAATATGATCTACAATTAACGTGGCACTACATCCTGGACGTGTCTAACGTTGATAGGCAACCGCATCCCAAGGCGCAGCGGGCATTTATAGTCTGGCCAGGGAGGCAGTCACAGGCAGAGGGACGAGCAAAGTCCTTGAGCCTAGACTTGAACAGGCGCAGGGAGTCTGGGTGGAGAGAGCTCCAGACAGTGGGGGCAGCAGAGGAGAAGAAGCGACCTCCCTCTCAGCACAGGTTGACCGGTTTCGCTTCCACAACGGTACAGGAGCACATGTATAAAACAATCATCATCAGCAGCAGCCATGATCAATCTGCTGCTGGATGAAGGCCTCCTCCTCATAGGCCGTGTGGGATATACCATGCTTCACGACGCTGGTCTTTGCGGGTTGCGAAGGCGGGTGGGGCACCGACCAACAGTGCAGGTTTCTGCCCGACGGGATCTGTACGTTACACGCATGGTGATCACCGTTCCGAGCGCTTCCCTGGCCCAATAAATACCTGCTTAGCTTGCCGGGTGTGAAACGCTAGTTGGACGCGTTCCGGATGATGGGCGAGCGAGTGAATGCGTGAGCGAGTGGATGAGTGAGCGAGTGAGTGAGCGAGTGGATGAGCGAGCGAGTGGACGGACGAGCGAGTGGACGGGCGAGCGAGTGGACGGGCGAGCGAGTGGACGGGCGAGCGGACGGGCGAGCGAGCGGACGGTCGAGCGAGCGGACGAGCGAGCGAGTGGACGGGCGAGCGAGTGGATGAGTAAGCGAGTGGGTGAGCTGTTGTGGTCTGCAGAATGGTAGTCGAAGAGTGTGGACGATGACACATTTACATTGCGCACTTTTCAGTTTTTATTCCGTGTTCTTTATATTCATCAGCGCACAAGATGCGCAGAAAAGTGCGCGTTCGAAAATCGCTCAGCCTTGACCAGACCACCAACTCCAAAAGAGCTGAATTGTGTGGCGCATTTTTTTAGTTTTGAGGCAAAAGAATTGGGAATATGTGGCCAACACCCGCCCCCCACGTCCACATTTTCTTTGTCAGTGTTCACGTTTCCTATCCATGTCGTAGCCGCGATGAATACTGAGTAGGGGGAAGGTATCAGGAAAGTCTGACTAAATCCCCGCGGCGCCGGTAGGCATGCACACACATATATAGATCGCTAAAACTCCGGTCAGACTTTCTGAACGATTATTGCACTAGCAGATGCCGTCTCGTTTACACGGCGAAATACATCGGCAACACGCGTCTCAGGAGAACGCGATTGTATTTGTACATCACGGTATCGTGATGTACGCCGCGTCCGTCTTGATTGTGTTTCAGCGGCACACGGGAGCGCGTTCGTTTTCAAGCGGCCCAAGGGGTGGGGGGGGGGGACATTCGATCTCGGTTTGAGAAATGAGCGTCGTAATAATCATCGTTTACGGTCCACTGCTGGATGGCTTTGACCATACTTCACCACGCGGGCGGCAGCAGCTGACATCGTTCGTTGCTAACGTTGGTCGGGAATCGAACGCGGCTCCGTCCGTCCGCTCGTGTTCGCGGCACCACCACCACCACTGCCCGCCAATGGGACTGTGTAAATGTACTGCGTGTGTGCATAGTGTGGAACATGTGTACAACTGTGATACGGGAGATTTATCAAGAACGCAAAGCCTCATGGGAATTCCCTAGGTCGACTCAGTCTTAAATGAGTACTGTATACCTGATGCGGTGTGTGAACGATCGGCCTTGGGGAGACATAGGCGGCCGGGCGTGGTGCTGGCCACCCATCCCCTCGTGTACGGTGCCGCGTCCTTGATAGGTGCTACTCGCTAACAGCACTTGCCCCGATATTCTGTTGAGGCTATACGGGGGACCTATGCCTTTGTGCCTTTGAATGCGTATCAGGGCTTAATTATGCGTGGAATATTATCCGGGGTCCCTCAAACCCAAACCCCTCGGACTCCCCCCCAACCCCCCACCCTTTCCTCAACCCCTTCCAACCTCGGCAGTCGAGGGGGCGGGACGGACGAATACAACATTTTTCCGGAGTTCAGCCCCGGACAGCTCCGGCTGAAATAAAGCCTTTTTGTATCGACATACGGGTGTGGACCTATGTGCTGATGATGATAATTTCCGATACTGATGCTGATTATGATGCTGATGGTGGATTATCTGCTCATGTAGCTGATGATGGCAGCGATGAATATAAGCCCTTTGGTATATAGTGTATCGACATACGGCTGTGGATCTATGTGCTGATGATGACAATACCGATGCTGATGATGGATCAGCTGCTGCTGTCGCTGCTGTAGTTCATGATGGCAATGATGTTTACTGATGCTGAATGCTTCTTGATACGACTACGACGTCTGCCGCTGATGATGCTGGTGATGATTACGTTCGCTGTAGCAATCACAAGTGCATTCCGCCGTACAGCTACGGGCGTTCAGCGCTCTGCAATGTTTGACTGCGCACCCAAGATCCCATTAAGCCCTGTCGTCGACGTCACCCGTCGTCGTGATTAGTAACCCGAGACTCGGATTTCATTGGCCGAACGGAGGCCTACAATGCGCGGCCGCTTTCCGCTTGACGCCGAACGTAATTTCTGGGGGAAACAATTCGACGCGGGGAGAAACGCAACAAAGCAACACACAAAACCTGTGTCCTTGTTGCAGCCATGTTCACTCCACTGCTGGACGAAGGCATCCCACCAAAGCCGTCGCCATCGCTTACGCTCGTTATGATTGTTGGTGTTGTTGTTGCGCTTTGTTTAACCCGGGGGAGCCTCGCCGACTCGTGTGACTCTTTCGCAGGAGGGTGCTGTCAGGTTTGTCGCAGCAGGGGAGGGGGGGGATTATTGCCGCTCCTGCTGCTGATAATCCCCCAATCGAATCATTTTCTGGCACAATTTTATTTTTCCAACTTTGGCCAATTCGGACGCCGACGGCGGCACGTGGCATATCGAGCGGCGTCACGGACCCGGAACGTCCAATTGTGAAGCAGACGTAGTTGCAGTATTGTATGCTGCTGATGCTGCTGTTGACGATGATGACGACGGCAATCATGATGATCATTAAGTCAGTTGCTACTGCAACTGCTTAATGCTGTCGATGTCGATAATGATGGCCACGCTGGTGATGCTGCTGATACTGCCGCTGATGATGTTGCTGATCACCATCACAAACGGCTACACCCACCCTCAAACTCCCCCTCCCTCCTCCTCCCTCACCTCGTTACCCCCCCCCCCCCCCCGTCTGCTCGTGCCGCAGGTCGCTGGCCCTGAGGGCCCCTGACCGCTCCGAGTCTCCGATGATCGGTGCGCAGCCGCTGTGCGCCTCGGCGCCCGGCCTGTCCCCCGGGCAGCGCAAGCTCTGCCACCTGTACCAGGACCACGTGGCGCACATCGGCGAGGGTGCCCGCCTCGCCCTCAGAGAATGCCAGCACCAGTTCCGATCTCGGCGATGGAACTGCACCGCTCTCGGCGCCGACTCGGTCTTTGGACCCGTGGCTCAGTCAGGTACGCGTCCCAGTCACACGGAGCGTCTCATGCTCATGCACGCAGTGAGGCGGAGGGAGGGGGGGGTCACCTCCTGTTGACCGCTCCCGGGTAGGGCTGTCAGCTGACCTGGTTTGACCCGGACGCTCTGGGTGTTGGGCGCCGAATGTGTTCGGGTGGCAGGAATTGATGCGTACCGAGATGTGGGCACCGGACAGTCTCGTGTGGGACGTTATGTCAGTCTGTGGACTGAGAAACACGTCCTGGTGGGGTCTGGGGGATGACGTGGCAACCCTAGCCCCGAGCGAGTGGTTGAAATTCCACATTCCTTAGGCAGTGAATCGTCGATCCACAGGATAACTACTTTTGCCTTCCTTACAAAGGGGTTGCTCATTGTATCGACCCCCGAAGCATGATTAGCTGAGTCACCTCCACCCTCCAAAACCCGGATTTGAACTCACAACCTTGCCATTGCGATCCGCTCGCTCCACCCAGCAGCCAGCTGGCTAGGTGGGCCCCAGGGCGGTCAGTCAGGGGCGGGCTGTGGGGAGGTGGGTGGCAGGTGGCCCATCGTGACCGTGTCGGAAACACCGAGGCCAGGCTCTGGTGTGTTGTCTCGGAGAGAGAGACACTTTTCTTGACAGTCAAATGCATGTCCTTC